CGAACCGCGGTCGACTACGTGGGAGTCCAGCGACATAGCCATTACGCTAACTGCTGGTTCCCTATAACACATATGTTGATGTGCTTGATTGGGCCAATATACAGTGTATTCTGAATGGAAAAATCTCATTTTATATGCTATAATGATGTACAGTGAATGAATGTAAATAAAAAAAATATTTCAGGAAGGTAAATGACCTTGGTATTGTTCAGTTCAACTGACAGGATAAATGTCATATTTACTATGTTCTAACTATCTACTAGAAATTTCAGTAAAAATATGAGAAAAAAAATACAGTAAAATTGTCCCTGCTTGCAAAGAGTTAGTAGACTACAATAGTTTTGTATGTACTAGGGCTTAGAGAAGCCTAGACTCCTCCTTTTAAAATTTCTTTTGTCTTATCCTACTTCTAAACCCTAAGAGGAAAAATTGGTTAAATGCTAAATATTCTAATATATTGAAAAGATATTTCTTTTGATTTCTAAGAACATGTTCTCCTGTGTCTACATTCATGGTTAATATTCTGTAAAGAGTCACTCTGCCTCTGTGACGCTGATGGGGTCGTAATAACTAAACCTGAAATCATGTTTAATGTTGGGAAAATGTTTTCAAAACATCTGCATTATTTAGCCAGCCAAGGCATTTTGTTTAAAATATTTGTGAATGCTTCCATCAGAAGGTATTCATTTGAAGTAATGGATGGCAATATTTGAAAATACCTGGTCACCTTAACTCTACATCTATGAATTCTAAATGTGTATATATGAATGTGTAACAGAGAAAAATCATATGGAATTATATTTTAAGTAAATATACTTTCTGTATTTGATTTTATAAGGGTTAATGAAGTATTTTAAAGATAGGAACTCAGATCTACTTCAAAATGGTAGACATATAGTATCTTTTATTGTTTTGGGAGGAGTTTGAAATTTTTTACCTTTATTATTCAGTCTTCATCAAAAACTCATCAGGGTCAGTCTTGTAACTTAGTGGTTAAGCCCTGGGCATTGAGAACTAGATCTCACATGACCAACCATACTTAAAGTTCTAGCCACAGGGACCAGTAGATGAAGTAATGGCTATGTCGCTGGACTCCCATGTAGTTGAACACGGTTCGAGTCCCAGACCCAGTGGCTTAAACTCATACCAGTCATGTGTTGTGTGCATGCCCAAGATCCCTAGAGTAGCGCGGAGGAGAAGGGATTAGGGCATGGCCATCCCCCTCCAGGAGGTGTTTTCTTGCTTTCCGTCCCTCTGTCTCTCTCTCTCTTTCTGGTGAGCACATGCGCCCTATAGCACAAACCTCTCAAGACAAACAAAAAAACAAAAAACAAACAAATGAATCCTAGCCACAGAGGCTTGAAAACCACATGGAGTGTGTCTGTGTGCATGCCCCAAATCCCAATGGGATGGAGAAATGGAGAAAAAGGGATTGCAACATGACTATGCCCTGTCGCAGGGCATACTTTCTCCCTGCACACCCCTGTCTGTCTGGAGAACACATATACCCACTGGCAATTAAAAAAATCCATGAAATAAACATCAGTATTTTCATTCTACATAATAAAAAGCTGTGACTCAGTGTGATTAGGTAGTTGGAGGTCCCCAGTTTGCCTTCAAAGATGAAAAGCAAACCTCTCAGTTCATTGCTCGTTCTGCTACGTGACAGCTGCCCCAATGCGAAAAGCTTTTATAACCTGTAAAAAGAGGAACAGTGAGTTAGTTCCCAATTATCTCTATTTCTTTTTTATCATATTCTCTCAGCACATTGTGGCAGGAGGAACATAGGCTTTGGAGTCAAATACCTGTGTTTGTATTTAAGTTCTGCGGCTTTTTAGTTATGCTTATTTTGTCCTGAACTCTATGTTATTGGCTTCACCTAGGAATTATGGCAGAGGTAATATTCACAATAGAGATTTGGCATCATATTTCTGGCACATAATAGGGGCTCATTAATTAACCAAAAAGGTGTTACTTACACTCTCGTAGGATGATGTCAAGAAATGAAAAATTGACTTGGTCAACACAAGAGTTGGAGAGAATAGGGCCTGGACATACAGTCAAGAGGCAAATTTTGAACCCTGTGTTAATGCCCATGCAATTAATTTATATTGGGTCAGGGTTAAATTATTTTTAAAGTTTACTTGTTTCTTCCATGAGTGAGAGAGACAGAGAGAAAGAGAGGCAACATCCTCACCAGTGTCCTGACTCCATGATCCACCCCTAGTTTCTGCCAGCCCAGGCTCATGGGCACCCCAGCACCTTGCATACTCAGGTAGGGTACCAGACATGAACCTGGAAACTTCTTATGTGGATCAGCCTTACAGAGCTTTGGGTTTTCTGCTGTGCCACCCACCAACTGCCCCAGATTAATCTCTCTTATCTCTGATCCTCATATTCACATGTGTCCCAGGAAGTATTTATTATCAAGAAGATGAAAGTGGGAAGCCCTGAGAACATGATAGAAATTTAACAGTAGAATTTTTGACCATTTTTTTTAGAAGAGTCTGAATGGATTTGCCTAATCTTTTTTTTTTTTTTTCCATCTGATATAGCTGATGGTGTCTGTGTCTTTAAATGTTTACTCAACAAAGACACTGAATATTGCCGTGTGGGCAAGGAGTCCATGTTGATTACTCTGGGGTACAACAGTGCTTTGCTGAAGTTCGAGTCTCATGATGGTAAGTTTTGGGTTTATCCTGAACTCCTGTCTTTTCTGAAGACAAATCTGATTGGGTGACTTTTGCTCATTACTGGTAAGCTGGCTTTCAGAAGCATGTTTTCTGATGTAAATTGTCATTGGTTGATGAAATGACTTAAAATTGGTTCTGGTGCTCACCTGATATCATGGTTAGAGAACAGGCTTTTCCTAGGCTAGAATAACGTTTTTATTCTTAGCCTTCCCTTTGGTCCTCCTTCATCCAAAGCAGCAGAAAAAAACATCATGGAGTTTCCAGAGCTCCACCACCACTCTTGCTGAGTCTCCTGTACAGTGAGGTTGTCTGCAGAAATTTGATCTTCAGTTTGGACTTATCAGAATGATTTCATCTTGTTTTTGTCTTTGAATAATTTGTTGAACATTTTTAGAGTCTGGACAAGAAGTCAAACAACAGAGAAATAAACTCAAGTATCACTAGAAGTAGTTTAAGATGGTACAATTACAAAAATGATTCTTCGGAAGATTTCCTGTATGATAAAAATTAGACCTGACAATGCCTTGGGTCTATCTTAGATGACTGACTATCATTTCTTTTTTTTTTTTTTTTTTTCACTATAGGGCGCGTGCGCTCGCCTGACAGACAGAGAGAGACATAGAGACAGAAAGCGAGAAATCACCCCCCGGGGGGATGGTCACGCCGCAATCCCTTCTCCTCCATTCTCCTCCCGGGATCTTGGGCACGCACGCACACGCGCCCGGCGTGAGTTTTAAGCCACCGGGTCCGGGACGCAAACTGCGGTCGACTACGTGGGAGTCCAGTGACATAGCCATTACGCTAACTGCTGGTTCCCTGTCATTTCTTTAACTTAGATATAAATTGTTCCATCTCACTCATGATGATAGTCCAGATACAGTTCAAAGTACTGGCAATGGTACATATTTCCCTTTGCTTAGCCAATTGTTCAAAGCTCTTTCATTATCTATAACTACCTTGAGGTAAAGAAATTAAACAGGTTTCTTGTTTCTAAACTGAATTTAGAGTCAGCCAAAGTGAAGAATTATCTGTCCATCCCTTCATTTATCCATACATCAATCTATCTTTCTGCATTTCAAAGTAAATTTTAAGAAATAAATTTCATTTAAATCAAATAAAAAATATATCTACATATTACATATATATATATATATGTTACATATATATATGCATCATGAGCCCTGTGATATTTTAAAATATGTTCACATTGTGGAATTAATAAAGTGAGCTACTTAACATACATATGACTTATGTTTTGTGATGTGAACATCTAAAATCTACTCTCTCAGAAATTTTCAGGATTCCAATATCTTGTTATTAACTATAGTTACCATGTTATATATTAGATTTCTTAAACCTTTTACTTCCTTCATCTGCCAACATCTCCTCAACATACCCATATACCCTAGCACCTGGTAACCATGATTCTACTAAGAGTTCTAAGATCCTAAGAGTTCAACTTTTAAGATTCTGCATATAAGTCTTTCTGTGCTTGGCTTATTTTACTTAATGTATGTCCTCCAGGATTATCCAGTTGCCTCAAATGGCAGGAGTTCCTTCTGTTCGAAAACTGACTAGTATTTCAATGTGTATATAAGAGGGGACTTTGAAAAGTTTGTGTAAATATGGAATTATAAATTTATTTTAGTGCAAAAAATTTAAAAAAATCCATGCCTGATTTTTTCATAAGCATTTTGCATGAGCTCTTTCCGATGTCACATTTTCTTCATCTGTTTGTGTGTTGATAGACATTTAGGTTGACTCCATAGCTAGGTTATTATGAATAGTACTGCCTTAAACATGGGAGTGTAGATATCTCTTCAACATACTGACTCCATTTCCTTTGGATACATACCTAGTCATGGGATTGCTGGATCACTTGGTAGTTCTTTTTTAAAACTTTTTGAGGAACTTTCATATTGTTTTTCATACTATTAATGTGCATTTTCACCAAGAGTGTACAAGCGTCTTTTCTCCACATCATCTCCAACATTTCTATCTTTTTGAAAATAACTATTCTGTATTTTTTAATTGACAGAAGATGTATGCACTCACCAGAGAGAAAGTGAGACAGAGTGAGAGAGAGAACATCTTCCAATGAGCATGGTCATGTCACAATCACTTTTCCTGCATTTTCTGCTCCATCAGAATTCTGTCATGAATGCACACATACCTGGCACATTTTCTAGGCCAGCAGGACTGGGATTCAGACTACAGTCTCAGCCAGTTTTCAATACATAGTGCTTAACCACTATGTTACAGGGCCAGTCTTAGCTCTGCTAAGCTACATGGTTTCAGCTTGCATTAATCTCATATTTGGTGAGGTTGAGCATTTTTTCAAATACTTGTTGGCTATTTTTTTCTTTTAAAAATTTATTTATCAATCTATTTATTTATTTATAGTCATTTACTGTACATCAATGCAATATACAAAATGAGATTTTCCATGCAGTATACATTGTATATTGGCTCAATCAAGGATATTACCATGTATGTTATCATCAACAAATACTTTTCTATTTCTTGTTTCTTATGTATTTTGCTTCATTTTCTCCCATTGATGACCTACCTCTCAACTTCTGCCAACTCCTCCTCTTCTCCCACACTGTCTCTGGTATGTACAATTGTTTTCCATGCCTTTTTTCCCCCACATTTTATTGATTCACTAAAGATATTAATTAATTTAAAGACTTTCAATAACAAGCACAGAAGACATGTACATATTTATGAATGTGTTTCTAATTTTAGGCATAAACCTCAGTGAGTAAAGTAAACATACTGTAAAGTATCACCTCATTGGGGCTATATAGCTTACTGTGGTCATTAAATAGGTATTAATAGGTAATGTATTTTTTAATTTCAAAAAAGTTTTAGTTTTAATAGATCAAAATCAAAAAAGAAGAGAAATTTGCTTAAAACTTAAAGCAGGAAAAAGGTTAGGATTTAGTTCAAATAGTAGGTAGATGAACCTATCAACATTTCAAGAGAAGACAAAAATCCTTAAATATAGAAATCAAAGCATCAAAGAAAATCAGTAATGTTTTAGTCAAAAGTCATAAAATCCTATTTCACGTTTAGACTTATGTACTTAATCTCTTTTCTATTGAATTTACAGTGTTACTGTGATCTGATCTTTCCACTTAAACTCTGGAAATTAACATTTAACTCTGGACTTGTCTCTACCATTAGGCTGGCCATTCTCTTGGTTGTTTCTTGTACTCATTTCTGTGTGACCGACTTTAGTTTTCCTGGTAGAGCACTCCCTTCTTGGAGGGAGCACTTTTTGGAGAGCTGGTCTGGTGTTGGTAAATTCTTTCAGGTTTTGTATATCTGAGAATGTTTTTGTCTTTTTTTTCCCATATGAAAATAATCTTGCAGGGTACAGTATTCTTGGTTGAAATTGTTTTTCACTTGACACTTTGAATATATTTTCCCATTCTTTCCTTGCTTGCATTGTTTCTGATGAGAAGTCTGACATTAGCCTTATGGGATATCCTTTGAAAATAACTTGATGTTTCTTTTATGCCAATTTTAGTATCTTGTCTCTGTCTTTGGTTTTGGTCAACCTGGTTATGATGTGCTTCAGGGAAGATCTTCTTGGGCTGATTCTATGTGGGGTCCTATGTATTTCTTGGTTCTGGATCTTTGAATGTCTCCCTAGGTTTGGAAATTTTTCTTCTAGGATTTCATGGAATAGATTATCAGTGGCCTTATTAGTTTCTTCACTGTCTGGGATACCAATGATCTGAATGTTTGGACATCTAATGGTATCTAGTGTTACTTGTATGTTATTCACATTTTGGGGGGGGGGTTATTTTCTCAGTCTTTTTGATGATTTTTTTCTAGGTCAGAGGTTCTGTCTTCTACTCTGAGATTCGATTTTCTGCATGATCTAATCTGCTTTTGATATTTTCAAGGGAAGTTTTTATTTCCTGTATTACAGTCTTCCTATCTAACAATTTTGTTTGATTCTTTTTTTATGATGTGTATCTTCTTTTCAGATAGTGCAAGAACTTCCTCACCTCCTGGAACCCATTGTTGCTTTTCTCCAGCATCTTCTGGAGTTCATTGCCTTCTCCTGCATCTCTGTTAGCTTTGTTGCTGTGAATATTTTAAATTCTTTATCTGGCATTTCCATTAGAACCCTTGTATTCTTTGTGGAGGAAGAGGAATTATTCTTTTCCAGTAGAGGAGAGAGATTTTCTTTGTTTCTCATATTTCTTGTACCTCTGCAGTGACTTCTGGTCATCTTATGAATTAGACATTTTTTCCTATTTTTTGGAGTTAAATCTGATCAATCAGAGGAATGCAGAAGGAAGTGACCTGCAGTATGTAAACAGTACCCTTTTTCTTCCTTTGCACAGCTGATTCAATGAAAATTGAGGATTAATCTGGCCCTAAAAGTATTCAGATATTTGGCTACTGAGCACCTAAAACTGTCTAGAAAGACAGTGTATAGAGGTTAAGCAGAAAAGTGAAAAAAGTAAAAAGAAAATCAAAAGGAATAGGAAAAAAAAACAAAGAAGTGGAGAAAAAAGTGACAAAAAGGAGAAAAAGAGAAGAATTTTTTTCCCTCAAATCCCTGAATGGCATTGCTCGGAACACAAACATAGATGGCTGCTGATTGGCTTATCCTGGCTCCTGGCTAGAATGGGGAGCAAGAAGATGAAGTCTTGGCAGAGAGTCTTCAATGGTCGAAATCCCCAGTATCCCTGAAGGAGGCCACTCAGAACTCAAATATAGATGGCTGCTGATTGGCTTATCCTGGCTTCTGGCTAGAATGGGGAGCAAGAAGATGAAGTCTTGGCAGAGAGTCTTCAATGGTCGAAATCCCCAGTTGGCTATTTGTCTTTTTCTGAAAAAAGTCTACTCTGGTCCATGGCCCTTTTTGTAATTAGCAAGATTTTTGCTATAGGGTACATGTGCTCTTCAGAGAGTGACAGACAGACAGAAAGCAAGAAATTACCCTCACCCCCCCCACACACACA